ACTCACACCAGGACGAGAAACCCCAAACGACTCAAATCACGAGGCGCGTTGTCTCTCCCTCCTCCTCCGCCTCGTCCTTTTCCCGCTCCCCTTCACAAGGAGGATGTACAAGGAGGCGGGAGGAAGGAGGAACAGGGGATATATGCGGGGCCAAGCGGACACACGCCTGAAAAACACGATTGTCGGCATGCTTCGCGAGAGTTGCTGCTGTGAGATGGGCTGGTGGGGATACGCGAAGCGTAAAGAATTCCACACGAAACATGCGACCATCATGGTAATCATCCCCATCATGGGGGACTATTGTTCTACAGCGGGGTCCGTTATTCCCATTCCCAGATCTCCCGCCCAATGAGGTCTTGCAAACACCTCCTCCGAGGAATTTCAACATATCCCGCCTCGAAAACACATGCCCGCGCCTTGCTGCGCCGATGCGAGACCGCCAGTGGCGCCCCAGCCAAGGGAAACACACAAGGAAATATCGAGCAACAGGATTGCCTTGGTGGGGATGGGGGCTGTCGGCGGCGAGGCAAGGACTTGGCCCTGAATAGAAAGGGAGGAAGTCTCGAGCAGGGCCGCTGCTGTTGCTGGGAACGGCGCTAATGCTGAAGAGAGTAGGGCCGCTAGTCCAGCGTAAAACAAAACCAAGTCCCGAGCGGGAGCACTGGTTTTGTTGAGACGGCGGTTTTCCGCGGCGAGGAGGAACACCGCCTTCAGCAAGAACGGAGGAAGCCGATCACTCCATGGGCGTCGACGCCCCAATCGGTCTTCGTGAGACCGTACACCTGCTTGAAGAACTGGTGGTCTGACGGCCCGCCTCCACGTCGATTGATGTAGCCAGCACACCATGCCACGGTACGTGGGCCAGGGATCGGCCAGTCGCTGAACTGCACGACCGAGAACATCATGGCTACGTCCCGCCACGGTCGCCTACGGCGTGCGGCGGGGGAGCCCTCAGGTACCTCGATCATCTGCAGGTCCAGGATGCGAGCGTCAGCCCCCGCTGGGACTCCCGCACCAGCCTCCTCGGCCTCCCTCATCGGTGGCGGTCCCGCGGGAGCGGCAGCACCCTCGGCCATGACTTCCGCCAGCAGCTTCAGGGCTCGTCCTGGGGGCGGCACCGCGGGGCGACCGCTGGCTCTCTCTCTCTCTCTCTCGCGCGACGTAGATCTCGTTCGCAGGAGCCACGGCCTCGGCCTCGCGAGCCGCCAGGTCGGCCGCCCCCAGGTCTGCCCGAAAGCGGTAGCACTCCGCCCGCGGGACTCCACCTGGAGGGGCCAGCGGCGATCGGAGAACCGCGCAGCCGTCACGTCCTGCTGGTTGTCCAGATCCAGCAGCTCTTCACTATACACGTCGTCGTCGGGGGTGCACACCAGCACGTTAGTCTCCGACGACACCACGACTCCCAACACTCGGCGTTGGTGTTATAATCGAGGCGGGGCCGCGTCGTTGTACAGCACGAGCGCCCACGCTCTCAGCCGTCGGCTGAGCTCCATCCCTTGGCTCAGTCTGGACCACGAGCCTCGTCGGCGTCAGCCACGTGCCCAAGGCAAGTCCAGTCACAAAGAAACAGCCCGCGACGAGAATCCACCCCCACAGCCCTAGCCCGCCTGAAGCCAACGGCGAGGGCGAGTTGGCTGGGGCCCCAGGGCACGCTGGGCACTGGGGGCAGGGTGGGCAGGCAGGCACGGACGGGCAGCGCGAGAGCCAGAGGAGGCTCGCCTGCCCGCCCACCTGCGCCAGCCCAGCCAGGGTGCCCGGCGGCAGCCCTGCCATGCACTGCTCGGAGCCTGGTCCGGGAAAAAGTTTGAGCGAAAGGGTTACAGACACAAACGATGCTGCAAGATGCGCGGCAGACCTCGGACGAGGGGGCGATGGACACATGAGGTAAACTATGTAGCGTAAGCATCATCATCATCGTCATCGTGAGAGTCACCCTCATCAGCGTCAGCATCGTCATCATCTTCATCATCATCAACATCAATGCCGCCGTCGTCGTCATCGTCATTATCGTCACAATCATCATCAACAGCTACACAGTCACGATCGACACCGTCGCCATCACCACCACCGACGTCACCATCGTCGTCGTCGATGTCCCCTCGTCGGATTGCTTCTCGCGAGCAGTTTCCTAGCATCCTGGCCACCACCATCCTCAGCATCATCGCCAGCGTCATCATTGCCACCAGCATTAGCATTACCATCAGCTTCATCACATTCACCGTCGCCGCCGCCGTCGATGAGCATCATCATCGTCATCATTGCTGTCGCCGCCCAGTCGAGGTTTGCCACCACCTTGCGGGTGAGCGTGTGGACGGTGTGCACGAACATGAGAGGTGGTCACGCGCGGCCGCGGTCAGAATTGGTTGCATCACTTAACCTGCACCACAAAGGGCGAACCGCGTGGCAGACACCACATAGATTGCACGACGATGCCTGCACCAACTGCAGCGCACCACACAGTTTGCACCACAGCGGGGCGTAAAAATAGATCGCACCACAGATGCTGCATTTGCCATGTGTGCGGAATCAACTATTCGGCATCCACGCTGGCAAACATGATGGTGAGGAAGGCCGCCAGGAGGAGGAGGAGGAGGAGGAGGAGGAGGAGGAGGAGGAGAATCAGGAGGAGGAGGAGGAGGAGAATCAGGAGGAGGAGGAGGAGGAGGAGATCAGAGGAGGAGGAGAGGAGAGGATAATCAGGAGGAGGACGAGGAGGAGGAGGAGGAGAGGAGGAGGAGGAGGAGGAGCTCATGTGGAGGAGAGAGGAGGAGGAGGAGAAGGAGCAGGAGGAGGAGAGGCAGTAGAAGAGGAGGAGGAGGAGAAGCAGGAGGAGGAGGATGAGGAGGAGGGAGAGCAGGCACAGGCGATGCAAGGCAAGCAGGGCAATCAGAGCAGCGAGGGCTCCCCTCTGGTGGGCCGCCCCAGGGCTCCTGCGAGGTGCTCTTGCCCAACAGCTGGTCGGCCCGCGACCGCCTCAAAAACGCCTCCTCCTCATCGTCATCCTCCCCCATCCGCCCCCTTTCCCGCATCATCCTCTTCCGTTTCACCCTCCTCCTCCTCCTCCTCCTCCTCCTCCTCCTCCTCCTCCTCCTCCTCCCCCTTTTCCTCCTCCGGTTCATCCGTATCGTCATCATGTTCCTTCCATTCCCTGTTCTCCGACCCCTTTTGACAATCGCATCCCACATCATTCCTCTGATTCATCGTCGCTCCTCACCCTCCTCCTCCTCCTCCTCCTCCTCCTCCTCCTCCTCCTCCTCCTCCTCCCGTCCACACCCTCACCCTCGTTCTCGTGATCCTCCTCCTCCTTCGCCTCTTCCTCATTACCCGTGTTCCTCCTCATCCGCGTTCCTCCTCGCTGCTCCTGCTCCTGATCATGCTCTTGCTCCTGGTCCTCCTCCTCCGCCTCCTCCTCCTCCTCATTGGATGTTTCTTGGTGATCGTCGGTGGGCCCCAGCAGGCCTCGCCACCACTTGTCAAGGAACAGGAATCTCTCATCTGCATCGGCTCCCTCCGATTACTTGTTTCTCCTCCTCCTCGTCCTCATCCTCCTCCTCCTCCGCCTCCTCCTCTTCCTCCTCGTCTTCCTCCTCATCCGCCTCCTCCTCCTCGTCTTCCTCCTCGTCCTCCTCCTCCTCCTCCTCCTCCTCCTCCTGCCTCTCGTCAGCCCTCTGGGGCGCCCGCATCGAGCTCGCGCGTTTGCTGCCGAGGGTGGCCCTGCAGGCCAGCTGGGCCTTGTCGCGGTCTTGGGTCAGTCGTCCTGAGGGGAACGGCCCTCTGTGGGGAGGGCGATCCGCCCGTCGCCTCCCCTTCCCACGGGGGGGGTCCTCCTCCTGCTCCGCCTCCTGCTCCTCTTCTTCTTCTTCCTCCTCCTCCTCTTCCTCCTCCTCCTCCTCCTACTCGTCCTCGTCCTCCTCCTCCTCCTCCTCCGCCGCCTACTCGTCCTCCTCATCCGTCTCCTCCTTTTCTTCCTCCTCCTCCTCCTCCTCCTCCTCCTTCTCCTCCTCCTCCTCCTCCCCCCTCGAGGAAGCGGAGGAGGCATGCATGTATGGCACGTATGTGTGTATGGATACGTACGTACGCATGTGTGCAAGGATGATTGTATGCATGCATGCATGCATGTCTGTCTGTCTGTCGGTCAGTCTGTCTGCCTGTCGGTCTGTAAGATTGTTTGTAGGTCGGTATGTATGTATGTATGATTGTGTGTCGGTCGGTATGTCTGTGTGATTGTTTATTTGTCTGTCGGTCTGTCTGTTAGTCGATCTGCCTGCCTGTCTGTATGTCTGTAGGTCTGCATGTGTATACGTGTGTGTGTATGTGTGTGCGTGTGTATGTGTATGTGCATTTGTAGGTGTATGTGTGTGGATATGTGTGAATGTGTATGTGTATGTGTATGTGTATGGTTTTATGCATGTATGTATGCATGCATGTATGCCTGTATGTACGTACGTATGTACGTACGTACGTACGCACGCACACATGCATGCATGACTGTACATATGTATGGATGCCTGTCTGTCTGTCTGTCTGTATGTATGTATGTATGTTTGTATGGATGTATGCATGCATGTAAGACTGGATGCATGCGCGTATGCATGTATGCACGTATGTATGTGTGTATGTATGTGCATGTGTGTATGTATGTATGTATGTATGTATGTATGTATGGATGGATGGATGGATGGATGCATGCATGCATAAATGCATGTATGTATGTATGTATGTATGTATGTATGTCTGTATGTATGTATGTATGTATGTATGTATGTATGTATGTATGTATGTATGTATGTATGTATGTATGTATGTATGTATGTATGTATGTACGCGCGTACGTAGGTGTGTATGAATGCATGGATGTATGTATGCACGTACGTACGTATGTATGTGTGTAGGTATGTATGTTGGAGGTTTGGTGGTGAGATAATCATGAAGCGGGCACCCCCCACCGGGAAATCTCTTTCGTGTTTGTCTTCGTGTCGTGCGTGGGGTGAGGCGAAGCTGTGTGGGCGGGCGAGCGGAATGAACCCGCCGTGGCTAGAGAAAACCCCGGGCCAAACTATGCTGTCTGTGCCACTCTGTTAGCCGGCGGTGGCCTGGGGGTGACCTGGTGGCGTCGTAGTGATGTCCCGATGGTTTCTTGACGGTGTCCAGAAGATGTCCCAATGGTGCCTGTGCCTGGATGGTGTCCCGATGGTGTTCCGATGGTGTCCCGATGGTGTCCCGATGGTGTCCCGATGGTGTCTCGATTGTTTCCGCATGGTGTCCCGATGCTGTCCAGATGGTGTCTCGAGGCCGTCTCGATGGTGTCCCGATGGTGTTCCGATGATGCCCCGATGGTGTCCCGATGGTATCCCGATGGTGTCCCCATGGTGCCCCGATGGTGTCCCAATGGTGTCCAAATGGTGTCTCGATGGTGTCCCGATGGTTGTCCCGATGGTTGTCCCGTGAATCCGACCGATAAGTAGATAGTGAGATCGATGGAAAGTTGGACCGATCGGTCGGACAAATCGATAGATATGTAGTGGGATCGATTGCGAGATAGATAATGGAATCGACTGACCGTAAGACTGATAAATTGATAGAGTGACCGATTGTAAGATCAGCTGTGAGATCGATAGACCGATTTTCATAGTGGTGTCCTGATGGTGTCCCGATGGTGTCCACATGATATCATTCATTTGCCCCCCCAGTGTTTTCAGGTGTTCCTCCCGATGGTGTTTCGATGGTGCCCCGATGATGTTCCGATGGTGCCCAATGGTGCCCCAACGGTCTCTCAATACTCCTGGTGTTGTCCCGCGGCTGCCTCGCCGGCATCCAGGTCGCTATTTGATGGCTCTCCGATGGGTGTCGGGCTCTCCGACAGCCTTTCTCCTTCTCCTTCTCCTGCTCCTCCTCCTCCTCCTCCTGCTCCTCCTCCTCCGCCTCCTCCTCATCGTCCTCCTCCTCCTCCTCCTCATCATGATGATGATGATGATGATCATCATCATCATCATCATCATCAGCATCATCATCATCATCATCATCATCATCAGCATCATCATCATCATCGTCAACATCATCATCATCATCATCATCATCATCATCATCATCATCATCATCATCATCATCATCATCATCATCATCGTCAACATCATCATAATCACCATCATCATCATCATCATCATCATCATCGTCACCACTACCACCACCAACAACACAAACATCAACATCACAATCGTCATTATTACCATCACCATCATCGTGTCCCGATGATGTCCCGATGGTACACTTATCGTCATCATCATCAGCACCGAGACCACCACGACAACCATTATCATCATCACCATCATCATCATGAACACCATCATCATCAGCAGCATCAGCAGCATAATCATTATCACCAGCACCACACAGCCGTCTGGCTCCAGATGGCCCGGCGCTGTGCGAAAATGCCTTCGACCACCATCTGGCGCGCCACAAGGGTCGCGGACAAATAAATGCCATCTCTAGCAGTGGAGGTGGCGTTCATTTGCCCGCGATGGCGGTGATGACCCAATCACTGGTGTGAGTGCGCCATCACGGGTGTGTCGTGCCGTTGGCGCTTGCTTTGTTGCCACTGATTCGCCAGGCTCTTTCAGCCGAGGTCGCATAATGAATTGGTAATGCTGCGTACTGCCTGTTTGCGATGCCCCGCTCATCACCAGCAACGTCGCCATGCATCTTCACCATCACAATCGCCATTACGCATCGTCACCAGCATCGTCATCACGCATCGTCACCAGCACCATCAACATCATCGCAGCTGTCATCAGCTGGCTCCCCCCCAACCTCCATATCACCCGAAGGGAGGGTCGTACAGGTATGCTTACAGTTGTGCGTATGTATATGTATAGGTATACGTGTATGTATATGAATATGTATATGTATATGTATGTGTATGTGTATGTGTATGTGTATATATATATATATATACGTATCTATATAGGTATAAGCATTCTTATAGGTATATGTATTTATATATATATATATATGTACTAGAACCACGCGCGCGCTTCGCGCGCGCTTAGGTTCTGTCGAGTCACAGACCCAAGAATCGTTGTGAGAAGCCTCTTGGGCGTCCTGGGTCTCTCGTGGGGGCTTCTTGGAGCTCTCTTGGCGCCTCCTGGAGCCTCTTGGGGCCGAAAGCTCGGAATTCTACAGTGGCTTTCTCCCTCTGGGACCCCTCTCGGGCACGCCTTGGGGCTCTCTTAAGCCATTTTGGAGTCCAATTTTGCCGTCCTGGGCGCCTCATGAACCGTCTTGGAACTCTCTTGGGGGCCACCTAGGCCGTCTTGGGAGCCTCTTCGGACGTGTTGGACGCGGTGAAAACCCAACAGGCGACCATGCGAAAAGTATACGTTTTCCCATAGGAATGGGACCGTTTTTGCTTCTTGGACCTCTCCTGGGGTGCCTGTCGGAACGTCTTGGGCTGATTTTGGAAGCCTTTTGGCGCCTCTGGGAGGCGTTTTGGCGCCTCCTGGGATGTGTTGGGCCGGAAGCTCGGAATTCGAGAGTGGCTTTCTCCTTCTGGGACCCCTCTCGCAGTCGTCTTGGGGTTCTCTTGGGCCGTCTTGGGGCCGTCCTGAGCCACTCGTGCGCAGCCTTGGAGCGCTCCCGGAGGCCTCCTAGGCCGTCTTGGAGGCCTCTTGGGCCGTCTTGGACGCGGTGAAAGCCCAAGATGCGAACATGCGACAAATATACGTTTTCCCATAGGAATGGCACGATTTTTGTTTCTTGGACCTCTCTTGGGGTGCCTCTCGGAACGTCTTGGGGTGCTTTGGGGAGCCTTTTGGCGCCTCTTGGCGGCATTTTGGCGCCTCCTGGAGCCTCTTGGGCCGGAAGCTCGGAATTCGAGGTTGGCTTTCTCCGTCTGGGACCCCTCTCGAACTCGTCTTGGGGCTCTCTTGGGCCGTCTTGGGGCCGTCCTGGGCCACTCGTGCGCAGCCTTGGAGCGCTCCCGGAGGCCTCGTAGACCGTCTTGGGCGCCTCTTGGGCCGTCTTGGACGCGGTGAAAGCCCAAGAGGCGAACATGCGAAAAATATACGTTTTCCCATAGGAATGGCACGATTTTTGCTTCTTGGGCCTCTCTTGGGCTGCCTCTCGGAGCGTCTTGGAGGCTTCTGGGACCTTCTTGGTGTCATGACAGGCGTCTTGGAAGTCATCTGGAGCCATCGGAGCGCGTTCCGAAGCCGCCTGCGAACGATCTTGGACGGCGCCCGGCGGTCCGACGAGCCTCCGGACCCCCCGGGGCCCACATTTGCGGTCGGGGTCCCGGCCCCGGGCCCCCGGACCCGGTGCGCCGTTATATGTATATATAAGTATAGGTATTCGTATATCCGTGCGTAGGTGTACATATGTGCCTGACTGTGTGTTATGTATATGTGTATTCGTATATCTGTGCGTAGGTGTACATATGTGCCTGACTGTGTTTATGTATATGTGTATGTATATGTATGTGCAAGTGTATGTGTATGTGTACATACATGTATACAACACATGTATAAGTACATAGGTACACGTGTATGTATACATGTGTATATATGTATATGTTTATAGATGGTTGCACACATTTGTATATATATATATATATATATATATATATATATAATGTATGCATGCATATATCTAGATCTTATATATATATATATATATACAAGTATCCATACACGGTGCCTCCTCGAGGCGGTTGAGGCCGTGGCCGTGCTCGTGCGGTCGCTGGTGCCTGTTCGAGGGATGGCCCCCCGCGGGGGGCGTGGCCCGCGAGCCTCAGGGCCGCGCCCCCGAGGCCTGCGCCCGAGATCGCAGGTGGCCCCCCGAGGCCCGCCTCTTCGGGCTGCGCGTCGAGGCAGGGAAGAGAGGGAGGGAGGGGGGGAGGGGGGGAGGGGGAAGGGGAGGGGGGGGGGGGGGGGGGAGAGGAAGGGAGGGGGGGGGGGGGGGGGGGGCAAGGGGGGGGAGGACGACGAGATCAAAATGTATACATGTCACGTCCGCTGCCCACGGCCATTGCCATCCTGGGGCCCGGAGCGGTGCATGCGCACTCGCGGCCTGGCGGGGGAGGCCCTTGCACCGCTCAAGGGGCCCAGGATGGGCCTGGCCAGAGGCAGTGGACTTGTGTAGATCTCGTCGCCTGAGGCCAAAGACCCCTTCGGCTGCGTACACCGCGTGCCCGCTGACGGCTGGATCGTCGCCCGAGCGTCTCCCAAGGCGTGCCGTTCTTATTTTTCTAACGCGCTCGGTGGGAGGTGTTGCGCATGAGCGCCAAGGCGGTGGGTCAGCTGTGCCCGCCCAGATCTTCAAAGTCAAGATCTGCGGAGGCGGAGTAGGAAAGGACAGAGGAGGAGGCTGCAGGAAAAGGAGGAGGAAAAATAATAAGAAGACGAGGAAGACGGACAAAAAAGGGCGGAGGATCGTCCTCCCTCTTTCTTCGATCCTGATCCTCGTCGTCATCCTGGTGCCCATCCTCTGAGGGTGAAAATCAGGATAGTGATGATGAGGAGGAGGAGGCGGAGGAGGAGGCGGAGGAGGAGGAGGAGGCGGAGGAGGAGGGAGGAGGAGGGAGAAGGAGGAGGAGGAGGAGGAGGAGGAGGAGGAGGAGGGGGAGGAGGAGAGGAGGGAGGAGGAGGAGGAGGAGAGAAGGAGGAGGAGGAGGAGGAGGAAGAGGAGGGAGGTGGATGGAGGAGGGGAGAGAAGAAACGATTGAGGAGGAGGAAGGGGAAAGATGGGGAGAGAGGGGTAAGGAGATACTCGAGAAGGGAGAAGGGAGGGGGAGCGAGGAGGAGGAGGAGGAAGAGGAGGAGGAGGAGGAGGAGGAGGAGGAGGATGGAGGATGGAGGGGAAGGGAGGAGGGAGGAGAGAGGTGCAAGGGCCGCTTCCACTCCGCGCCCCGTCCTATCTCCCGGCGCTGCTGCTCGCAGAGCGCCAGCAGCCTCCGGCGGGTGCAGTCCGCGTCGAGCACGTGGATGTGGTACAGCGATATCAGCACCTCGGAGCACGGGGGTGCTGGGGCCAAAGGTGCGCAGAGGGGGGTCCCCAGCTGTTCGCGCCAGGCTGGGAACCGCCTGGTGCCCTCGGGGCGGGCGGCCCTGCCGCAGACCGCGTTCTTATGTTTTGGGCCGCGCCACCACGGCACCGCGCAGACATCCTGCTACCAAGGGGGACCCTCATTTTCCTTATGCACCGTGAACACAAGTTCGCTGTTATAATCTCCTGAGTCAAGGACAGTCGGGTGATCGCTGGGGAATTTCTTTTACAGAAAAATAGGAGGGATCAGAAAAGGAAACATATCAAACAAGAGCGAAACATAGCTAAACATAAATGTTTTCAACTATATTTTCATTTAAAATATCTTAACGCACGCTCAGAAAAGGGATCCGACTAAAACGTAGCAATACAATAAAACAAACTAAGCATATATGTTTCATCATCTTTCTCATATTTCAACGCTGGCTCAGAAAAGTAGACATAGCAAACAAAACAAAACATACTCAGACAATCGCTGAACATACTTGTCTTCATACATGTTATCACGCGATCCATCTTTTAACGCCAGTTCAGACAAGGAAACATATCAATAACCCCGAACAATTAAAACAATTTGCAGTTTCATACATTTTACCATATGTTTCATATTTTAACGCTGGCTCAGAAAAGGAAACATATCCATGTTTTCATATATGTTTCATCATTCTCCATATCCCCCAATCAGTGCTTGCACTGCAGGGTCCTGGCGGAAGCTGAAAAATTTGGCGAACGTTTCCCGCCGATTTTGGTAGCAAACTGGGTACCTGGGTTCCCGGTTCCGGGTTCCCGGGTTCTGGGTTCCCGGACTCCGGGGTTCCCGGTCGATCTCCTCAGCGAAAGCCATCCACTGATTGGGGCTTTTCTCTGGTGGAATTTTCACTATTTGCAACGCAGAAATATTGGAAAATATATGAAAATAGATGCTGCCACACATTTTTTCATAATTCTTAATATTCACATTATTTGCAACGCCGTCTCAGAAAATATATAGTATAAGAAGTAACAATACATATGAACAAATAGCTGACATATATTCTTGGGGATAAATAGCTGAACTATGAGTTCTTTATCGTATTATTCCATACATTCACTATTTCAACGCCGGCTCAGAACTGGAACAAACAAAAACAATAGCTACAACTATATGTTTGCATATGCTTTCATAATTTCCCATATTTTCATCATTTGCAACGCCAGCTCTGGAGAGGACTCATATCAAACAAGATCAAACAAATGAAACAAAGCTACAAATATCTGCTTTCACATTTACCACATTTACCATCAATAAATACCACACACATATAAACAAACAAACATAGCAAAACTATATGTTATCAAAGAATTTGTTTTCCTACCGTTCCCAGCTGTCATGATTTGCAACGCCTGCTCAGAACAGGAAAAACATCCCAAACTAGCAAACTAACATGTATGTGTTCATATGTTTCATCATGTTCCATCTTCTCAAAGTTTGTAACGCTGGCTCAGAAACATGAGGACAACATATTATCATATGAAACAAGTTAATGTGTGTTTTCATAAAACTCCATGTGCATGTCCATATTTTCATTACTTGCAATGCTGGCTCCGAAACTGCCCAAGAGCTCTCCAGGGCGCCCAAGATGGCCTCCAGAGGGCCCACGAGGCCCCCAAGACGCCCCAAGAGGGCTCAGCGAGGTCCTCCAAGAGAGCCCCAAGAGGCAAACATCAATGATGATCCACCGGTTGTTGAATGAGTTTACCGTTCTCGCCTTTCTGAGCGTCCCACGCTCCAACACGGTTCCACAAGCCCCCAAGATTGCCCCACGACGGCCCAAGAGGCCCGCAAGACTGGCCAAGAGAGCCTCAAGACGGCCCTTGAGGTCCCCCAGAAGGCCCCCAAGAGGGCCCGTAGAGGGCTCTAAGAGAGAGAACTCGAACTGACAGTTCGAGCCCTCCACCCTGAGATGACCCCGAGACCGCCAGCAGGCCCCCAGGCGGCCACAAGAAGCCCCAGGAGGCTCCCTCAGAGATGCCCCTCCAAAGCCCCCAAACCCCAAACCCGCCTCCAAGAAGGCGCTCGAAGACGCCTCCCGAAAGACCCCCACCAGGATCCAGGAGGCCCCTGACCTACAACCCGAGCACGGTGGCGGCGGGCCGAATGGTTGTTGGTTCGTTGCTATAAACCTCGTGGGGGCAGGCGCGGGACGCGGGACGCGAGCTGCCAGCGGCCCGGAGCCGGCACCGGCACCGGCGGCCGGCTCGAGCCCGCGCTGCAGCCGCTGGAGGCCAGAGGGCGCCCTGCCCCTAGAGGTCAAATTTGTATCCATATCCACTGCGCCGCGGCCTGTTGGCGCCCCTTCCCGCTCATGTTTCATCTTCGGGGGACCTTGTCTGTCCCGTCGCGGCCCTATCCGTGTCGAATCCATGTCGGGCTCGTCGGATCCGTGTCGGATCCGCGTCGAATCTGCGATGGGTCCGCGCCAAATCCGCGTCGAGTCCGTATCGAGCCCGCGTCGGGCACACTGCGGGACTGCACAATGACCACAGCCACTGCTTCTTGTTTGCGCCACCTTCCAGCCGGCCGAAAAAGAAGCAGTGGCTGTGGTCACTTCCCTGGTGCCAAGCTTAACGAAAATGACCACAACCACTGCGTTGTTTCTGCTGGCTGGAAGGCGGCAACACAAGAAAAGAAGTGGCTGTGGTCGTTTTCGCGCCCCGTACACACGAAAAGACACCCATTTGGGGGACAAGCGAGGTCCCCCGAAGATGCAACGCAAGCTGAGGAGCGGCGGGCGACGGCAGGAGGCAGGCGGGGAGCTGGGAGCCGACGGTCCCGCGCGCAGTCCCAGCCGACCCCCTGGGGACCGACGGTCCGCGCGCAGCCGACCCCCTTGGGAGCCGACGGTCCCGCGCGCAGTCCCAGCCGACCCCCTGGGGACCGACGGTCCGCGCGCAGTCCTAGCCGACCCCCTTGGGAGCCGACGGTCCCGCGCGCAGTCCCAGCTGAACCCCTGGGTCGATGCAGCCCTGGCTTTGCTGGATCCTGCAAGATCCGGCGCTCTGGCGCTAGCCCCCGTGTGCATCGACCCTCGTCTCCGTTGCGACGAGGGCCCCCCCCCAGGAGGCCCAACAAGGCCAGCACGAGGCAAGGATAGCGGCATCCGTACCTTTCCCTCCTCTGACCTGCAAGTCCCCGGTCGTGCGCGGGGAAAAGGGGGGGTGCGCGACTTCGCGGCGGCGCGAGGGAGGGGGGCCCGAAGAGGGTCTGGCCCCGGCGGAACTCTGGGCGGGGGGGTCCCGCGGGGGCCGCCGCCGCGGGGCGAAGCGGTGGCGCGGGACCTGGCCTGCGCAGGCACTCGCGGCGCGAAGGGTGTCGGCGCCCGCGAAGTCTCGCTGGATTGTTTAGCTCATGTCCGGGAAGGAGGTCGGAGCCATGCTCCGAGCGGTGCGTCGGCACCGCGGCAACTTTTCAGTCTTCGTGAGGCGAGACTGCTTCTCGGAAGGGCAGCTGGAACAATTACAAAGACAACGTCGTGGCCATCAGAGGGACCTGCGCTTCCTCGACCAGAGATAGATCAAATAATAGTTTTAAAGATGTGTGCTCAAATATGTTTTTCCCAACCATCCTGTGGTGTTGGGTCCTCGTTTTGAAGAGACAGCGCCCCGCGTCTCCTTCCTCCTCTCCTCCTCCGCCTCCTCTCCTCTCCTCTCCTCTCCTCCTCTCCTCCCCTCCTCTCCTCCCCCTCTTCCCTGCGTTTCACCCACCCAGTACAACGTTTCGTAGCCCCATAGGAGCTCCACCGAAAGCCCCAATGCCCGCGCCCGCATGCGTCACCCACACCCAATTCGGCACACCCCTCACACGTTTCGTGGCTCCATAGGGAGCTCCACCGAAGGCCCCAGTGCCCGCGCCCGCATGCGTCACCCACACCCATTTCGGCACACCCCTCACACGTTTCGTGGCTCCATAGGGAGCTCCACCGAAGGCCCCAGTGCCCGCGCCGCATGCGTCACCCACACCCATTTCGGCACACCCCTCACACGTTTCGTGGCTCCATAGGGAGCTCCACCGAAGGCCCCAGTGCCCGCGCCCGCATGCGTCACCCACACCCATTTCGGCACACCCCTCACACGTTTCGTGGCTCCATAGGGAGCTCCACCGAAGGCCCCAGTGCCCGCGCCCGCATGCGTCACCCACACCCATTTCGGCACACCCCTCACACGTTTCGTGGCTCCATAGGGAGCTCCACCGAAGGCCCCAGTGCCCGCGCCCGCATGCGTCACCCACACCCATTTCGGCACACCCCTCACACGTTTCGTGGCTCCATTTCAGTGGCTCGGCACACCCCCATAGGGAGCTCCACCGAAGCCCCAGTGCCCGCGCCCGCATGCGTCCCCGGCACACCCCTCACACGTTTCGTGGCCCCCAGGGAGCCACCGCAAGCCCCAGTACCCGCGCCCGCATGCGTCAGCCACAACATTTTCGGCCACCCCTCACACGTGTTCGTGGCCCCATAGGGAGCTCCACCGAAGGCCCCAGTGCCCGCGCCGCATGCGTCACCCACACCCATTTCGGCACACCCTCACACGTTTCGTGGCTCCATAGGGAGCTCCACCGAAGGCCCCAGTGCCCGCGCCCACATGCGTCACCCACACCCATTTCGGCACACCCCTCACACGTTTCGTGGCTCCATAGGGAGCTCCACCGAAGGCCCCAGTGCCCGCGGCCGCATGCGTCCCCCACACCCATTTCGGCACACCCCTCACACGTTTCGTGGCTCCATAGGGAGCTCCACCGAAGGCCCCAGTGCCCGCGCCCGCATGCGTCACCCACACCCATTTCGGCACACCCCTCACACGTTTCGTGGCTCAATAGGGAGCTCCACCGAAGGCCCCAGTGCCCGCGCCCGCATGCGTCACCCACACCCATTTCGGCACACCCCTCACACGTTTCGCGGCTCCATAGGGAGCTCCACCGAAGGC